TCTAACTTTTAGAAACATGGTCGACATTAATTTTCAATCTTATTTCTAAGATATTTAAGGCTACAAATTTCTAATTATTGCATTAGCTATATTTCCTTAGAAATTTTTTTTAATATTGTCATTATTATTAAGTTAAAACTGTCTTCTAATTTCCTCTAATTTTTAATCATAATTTTTATTATTATTTTTTCTTTGAACCATAAATTATATTATAAAACTGTCTTTCCTAATTTTCTACTATATAGATATTTTCTTATTAACTTTTTTTGTTTTTATACTTAAATGCATTTTGGTGAGATTATACATAATATATTATTTGTCTTTTTAAATTTTTTGAACCTTTATGGAACACTGTCAATTTTTAAAATTTTTCCATATATGCTTGAAAAGTACATGTATTTTTGAGTTTGGGAATCTAATAAGTCAAGAATGCTCATTTTATTGTTCAGATTATAATTATTTTTTATCTATTTGTTCTATTAATTAATAAGAGATGCCTGTTAAAATCTACCACCATGACTAGAGATTTATTTATTCATTGTGGTAGTTCTAAAAGTTCTTCCTTTGTATATTTTGAGGCTATGTTGTTAGATATCTATATGTATAATTTTTATATCTCCCTTGAGAATTGAATTTTTTATCTCTATGAAGTGAATGGCTTTATCTGTAGCAATTCTTTCATATACTAAAGTCAATTTTGTCTGATAATAATATAACTGCACCTGTTTCCTTTTGTTTAACATTTGCATTGTAAACTATTTGTGGTTAGAGGATAATTTTGTTGTTGTTGTTGTTGTTGTTGTTGTTGTTTTTACTTTTTAAGTAATGGAGACTCAATTCAAAATCCCACATACGGCAATAAGTTCTAAAGGAATTCTTTTCTTTTTTCTTGCTCTGCTAAGTTTCAAAGAAACTTTTCTTATAAAATCCTGGTAATGAGAGAGTGCATAGAGACAGGTTTAGCTTCTAGTGCACAGTTACCCTGAAGTTGTCATTTGGGGCAACAGAGTTCCTACATTTACCTGCCCCTATTTTATTATATCCTAAACTTTTACTATACACACAGTTTCTCACATGGTCATCAGATCTGAAACTCCAGATTGCCTTGTTCAGCAAAACACCCTCAGGGCAAAAGCAACTTTAACACTCAGCCTATTTTTCAAAGTTCTTAAGATCTTAATTTACTATTCAACACATTTTTTTTCCTAAAAACCTTATAATTATTCTTTCTATATCTTAACTGGAAAGACTGTATATTATAATAGCTAAAGTCAAGGATACCTGAGCATATATCTCAACTCTGCTGTTTACTAGCAGTAAAATCAGGCACTTCTCTGAACCTCAGTTTACTTTTCTGTAAAATGTAGATTAGATACATAGTGTTACTGAGATGATTAAATGGGATTGTGGGCTTAAGACATGCAACGCAGCACCTGGAACATAAGATTCATTAGTTCAAATGTTTTATGTTGCAAGGTACAGATGAAATAAACCCTGTCTCAACTGTCACAGTAGGGAAGTTTTTACTTAACACATACGTCCGAAGGTAAATTTATTCATGGTTCCAGGAAACTATCAATGATCAGGGTCTTCCTATCTTTCTTCCATGTTATACTTAGGTATGTTGGCTTTTTCCCTCCACGATTTCTAGATGACTTTAGAATCTTCAGCCATTATTTTTTATGATAAGTTCCAAAGGCCTTAACAAACATTCTCTTTCTTCTGTCTCAGAAATTTCTCACAGGTCAAAACGTTCTCTCATGCCTATTTCTAAACCAATCTTTGGCAAAATGGTATAGAGTACAATGATTGTCTTAAATCAGTCATGATTCTGAGGCTGAGGATGATGTGTTTTTTTTTTTTTTCCTCTTGAGCACATGACTCCTATAAAGACAGCTAATAACTAAAGGAAATTGAAATTCTATTAGTAAAAAAAGGAGAAGATTGGCTGTGGGTAGAATAGTCTTCTAATGTTTTCATTATGATTCTTTATTATTATTATTTAATACATTCAGTGATAAAAGGTATTCCACAAGGAATAGCCAAAACCTTGAAACATACCATTAGAAATTTTCTTATATGCTTACATTGATTCATTTATCTAGATCTTTGGGTAAAGTTGCAAGAATGATCGTTTTTCAACTTAACTATTCAAGCATTTGTCATTTTTTTCCTATTTTGTTCACAAGATGAGAGTTTGTCTATTTACTTCTTAAAGTTCAGAAACACTATACCTAATGATATTGGGGGATGAAGTTGTTTATCAGTCTAGCATTTCTGTCACAAGGAATTTATTGAGACTGACATGATTCTTCAGTGAATTCATCTTGGCTCCTGATGGCCACTTCCTTTTCTAGCTATTTGCAACAAACCACTATTTAAATAATTTATTCTTTTTTTTTTGGTCAAGAATCAACATTAAGCACTAAGATCTCAAGGCTATAATTATGGATTCTATTTTCTTTTTCCCTTTAAATATTACTACTTTCTCTAGCTTTGTACATCTTCTACATAAGTCTTCATAGATTATAAGTATTATAAATTATAAAAATTACAAATATTAATAATGATGGAAGTAGTAATGGTGCAGACAACATTTTAGAGAAATTTACTATATGCTAGGCCTGTGCAAGGATCTTTAAATACATTAAGTCATCTAATCTATACAGCAACCCTATAAATTTGAGACTGAGGCATAGAGAAGACAAGTTACTTGCCTCAGATAAAAGCATCCTGTATCTGGAGTGCATACTCTGGGCTACTAAGCAATAATATAATATAGTAGGTGGGCCCTTCAATTATATCTAAGCTCCATAAAATATAATTCAATATATAGCTATTTTAATCTGAGTTCTTATCAAGATTATGCCGGTACCTACCTTATTAAGTCTGATTACTTTGATTACTTTTTTTTTACCTGCATGCCATCTCATTTTTACTTGGATTGGTAAATAAATTATTAGTTAATATCATAGTAATATAATTTGCTTCTATTGATGTCATAATTTTATATTTGAGATCTCCTTAGAAGTATCTTATATTATCTCCACTTCTTCCTACTTCTAAACCAGTGTATTAGACCTTATTTTTGAAAAAATATCACAAAACCTTTATATACAGAAATACTGACAAATGTCAACAAAATATGTCTGAAGACTTAAAACAACTATACTATAAATAACCAAAATATCGTAGCAACCAAAGTGAACACTTTCAGTCTTATTTTTAGAATATGTCTGTATGCAAAACAAAATATTTAATTACCTCTCCCAGGTAATATCTGGATATTCGTTGGCTTTAAGGGAAAAAAATTTAATAGCAATAAGTAAAATTCTCTGTTAAATTTACACATAGACTTAGAATAATTTTGTAAGAATCGAAATTGTAGCTCTAGACAATTAATTGAAATATCCCATCACTTTTCTTCAAAAATTTAAGATGTTTTCCATATACAAAGTATTGCATAACTGCAGTCACTTTTCAGTACACCTATGTTTTTCATCATAAATTGGTAGTCGGTGAGCTACCTCGCATGTCCAAGTCATTATTTGTATTCTCTCTGTAGCTATTGCTAAGTCCAGAGCATTTTTTCTATTCTCACCTGGATGTCAGTACACAATTGTACTTCCTCATTTTCTCAGTTTATATAATTGCTTCTTGGTTCATCATAATAAAACACTGTATCAATATCCAAATATAGCAATGTTAACAAATCCAGACTGAATCACAGATTTCATAGGCAGAAATGCAAGTACCTTTAGAAAGGGATTAATAACAAACTACATCAAGTTTAGTCTTTCCAATTATTCTTTATCTTTCTCCCTTCTTTTATTGACTTTTTTAAATTTTCTGTTTCCAACTGTTTAGATAAGGTTATGTCTGATTCTTAAAATGGTGGTGGATAAAGTCCATATGTATATATGTACACACACACACACACACACAGTAGAGATATCTTTGAGAAATTATTTAGCTATGCATTATCTCACTAAAACAAAGTCCATATTATATATGTACACACACACACACACACACACACACAGAGGCAACCTAAGTGAAACAAATCACCTATGTATCTTGATATCATGGATTTACAATACAAGTATTATTTTCTTACCTGCTAATGAGAAATTTAGATTAGATGACAGTCTGGCAAACTATGAAAAGAAAAAAAAATTTCTTATTACACAAGTTTTCCATACTTGGGATATAAAGCATTGTAATCTTTTATCAGGGATTTTGAGAAAATTGATAAAGTATTTATTTTTGCCGTAATAATAATTCATGCTACTGGTAATTAAACTGTAAGACTTTATTTTCCTTCTCTCACTACCCTCTCCCAATGAAAGCACAATGACCATAGTAATGAGTGTCATTTTGATTTCAGACTGTGGCCTTATTATTAACCAAGAAAAAAGTAATGAATATTAATTACATAGACAAGATTTTTCTTTTTCATGTACCAAACTTAACATTTATTTTATTTGCATTTATTTTAAAATAGACAAATATAATAAGTTCAGCATGGAAGTTAATGTCACATGCACAGTCCAAAATGTGGTTCATAAGCTTTCAACTGCTCTGGTTTTCTTGGTTTGGAGTGGAATCTTCACCTATTTTCATGTTCTTGTCTTCTGATGAGATGAACTAAGTTCATGAAAACCTGCAGCCTTTTGCATGCATTACTAATTCCTTTCAAATGCCACCTCACTTTTCTTGGTTATGGCATATCTCTCAGGGTTTGATGCATATCTCCAATCTCTGGCTATATATAGAAGGGAAGGATCTGATGGGGCTATAGTTTGACAGTATTATGGGAATCTCAAAAGTCAGTATTCAAAAATGAGCAGGATGTAGTGAAGGAGTAAGAAAGGGAAACTACTAGAGCTTTGAGTACAATGTTAACCAAAATCCAAGCCAATCCTTGCCCCCGTGGAGTTTATAATCAAGATGGGTAAACAAATTAATTAAATAATCATACAACAAAGAAAATGTACATGATGCCTAGAGAATTTGTAATTGGAGAGCTGAACTGGCCTGAGAAGCCAGAGAAGGCTTCCCTGAAGAAGTAATACTTGAAATCTGTTGGGTGAGTGGGAATTAAGTGGGCAAGGGAGCCAGGTTCTTCCTATTTCCAAGCAGTAGGACGTGCTTGTAGCTGAGGAGAACATCTCATTTGAACAAATAAAAGAAGTCCAGTGTTATTGGAACAGAGGAGAAAGAGAGAGCAATTGAGAAAAACCCTGGAAAAGAAGGTGAGGTTAAACCACAGTCTGGCTTATAGAACAGGATAAAGATTTTGGTCCTGAATCTGAAATCGACATGAAGAAATAAAGAGTTTTATTCAAAGTGATGACATTAACAAATTTATACTTTCAAAGATCATTCTGGCTGCAGTTTGGAGCTCTATTTTGCTTACTTTTTATCGATATGCCCATTTTGGAGCCCAGAGTTGTTACAAAGTATAAAAGCAAATTACTCTTCCATCACACTGAATACATCAGAGTGCATGGTGACTTATTTTCACGTGTATTTCAAATTTAAGTTATTTATTCCCACCTCTCATGCCCAAAGCTGTTTAGATTACCATGGAGATGAGTTGTCTACAGTTATTCCATCACAGTAACTAATCTCAACTGGCAAGCTTCTTTTGGTGTTACCTGCCTCTGGAATTTATTAAATTAAATCTATGTTTTCCTTCTACAAAAAAATAATGCAAACTCCTACCTTAAAATTTGGGTGCTTAACATGGCATCCGAATCATTTTCTCTTCAGAGAGAAGCTCCAGGTTTTGAATTCCCTACTGGCTGTGGATAGCAGCAAAGAGGGTGAGAGTAAGATTTATGACAAGATTGTTTCTAAGTATCTCCTACCCACTTATATGTGATTTTCTTCTCATTTTCCTGATGTGTAGACATCTCTCAGCCAGCATTCAATTTTTTTTAAGAGGAAATTGTTCCATAAGTAGCTGTGGACTAATTATGTTTGTGGAGGGAGGTGAGTTCAGGATCTTTCTGCATTGCCATCTTGAACCGAAACCCCTTGAGATGTCAAAAGACTTCTCTACTTTTTGAGCTAATCCACTTTTTTTCTGACTATTCCTAGTCATTTCTGGTTAATGCCAAAGCCAGTCCTCCTGCCATTTTAGCTCTGTTGTCTTGGAATATCTCATTCTGTTCTTGAAATTTCCACATGGGAGAATCCTGGTGTTTTTCTAATGCAATTTTAACCTTTGTTTTTATCTTCTGCAAGTTTCTGACCAGATTCAGGATACACAGACAGTTCCAAATAAGATAATCCCAAAGAGAACCACACCAAGACATAATACAATTAAAGTCTCAAAAGTTAAAGACAAGGAGAGAATGTTAAAAGCAACAAGAGAAAAACAACTTGTTTTAGGAAACAACAAGGGAGCCCTCATAAGACTGTGAGCATATTTTTCAGCGGAAAATTTGTAGGCCGGAGGGAGTGAAATGATATATTCAAAATGCTGAAAGAAAAACCTTTCAGCCAAGAATATTCTACCTGGCAAAGTTATCATTAAGAAGGGAAGGGCAGATAAAGAGTTCCAGACAAGTAAAGCTAAAAGAATTTATTTTCACTAAATTGGCTTTATAAGAAATGTTAAAGGGACTTCTTTAAGCTGAAAAGAAAGGGTGCTAATTAGTAATAAAAATACATATTAAAAAAAATCTAACTGGAAAGGTAAATATATAGAAAAGTAGTGAATTAATTACTTCTAAAGCTAGTGTGAAGTTAAAGAAAAAATGTAAAAGTAACTATGATTACAACAATTAGTTAAGGAATACACAAGACAAAAAGATGAAATATGTGATATTAAAAACATAAAATGTGGAAGGAGAGAGTAATAATGTTGAGCTTTACAAGGGAATAAAAATTAAGTTGTTATCAACTTAAAATAGACTGTTATAGACATGCTGTTATATCTAAACCTCATGGTAACCACAAAGAAAAATCCTATATTAAATACACAAAAATATAGAAAAAAGGATATCAGCATACCATTAGAGAAAGTTATCAAGCCATAAAAGAGAGCAAAAGAATAAAGGAACAGAGAGGAACTATGAAAACAGCCAGAAAACAGTTAGTAAAATGGCAGTAAGCACATACCTATTGATAATTACTTTAAATGTAAATGGGACATATCTCCAATCGAAAGACATAGAATGGGTGAACGAATAAAAATTAAAACAAGACCCATCTAGAAGATGCCAATAAGAGACTCTCTTTAGATGTAAGGACACACCAAGACTGAATGTGAAGGAATGGAAAAAATATTTCATGCAAATGGAAACAAAACAAAACAAAAAACAAGAGTAACTATACATATATTAGATGAAATAGACTTTAAAACAAAGACTGTAATAAGAGACAAAGGAGGGTGTTACATAATGATAAAGGGGTCAATCTAACAAGAAGATATAACATTTGTAAATATTTATGCACCCAACATAGGAGCACCTCTATATATTAATCAAATATAACAGACATAAAGGGAAAAAATAGAAACCGATAAAATAGTAACAGGAGCTTTTAATACCCTGCTTATATCAGTAGATAAATCATCTAGACAGAAAATCAGTAAAAAAACATTGACCTTAAATGACACGTTAGACCGCGTGAAGCTAATATTAAAGAGGACCTGGTGTTCCAGCGCTTCACCAAGTTCACAATTAAAGATTTCCACAACTGTTAGACCAGGTGAAGCTAATATTTTATATATATAAGACATTTCAATCAAAAGCAACAGAATATACATTTCTCTCAAGTGGACATGGAACATTTTCCAAGGTAGAGTATATGTGAGGCCATAAAACAAGTCAATACATTTAAAAGGACTGAAATCATGTTAAAGATCTTTTCCAATCACAATGATTTGAAACTATAAATTGATACCACGAAGAAAACTGGAAAATTCACGAATATGTGGAGATTAAACAACATGTTACTCAACAACCAACTAATCAAAGAAGAAATTTAAAAAGAAATAAAAAAGCATCTTGAGACAAAGATGAAAATGTATCATACAAAAATTGATAGGATGCAGCAACAGCAGTTCAAGAGGAAAGTTCATAGTGATAAATGAGTACCTTGAAGAACTAGAAAAGTCTCAAATAAACAACCTAACTTTATACCTCAAGGAACTATAAAAAAAGACAAAGCCCAAAGTTAGTAGAGGGAAGGAAATAACAAAGGTTAGAGCAGAATTAAATAAAATAGAGGCTAAAAAGGCAATAGAAAATATCAATAAAACCAATATCTGGTTTTTGAAAAGATAAACAAATCTGACAAGACTTTTAGGTAGACTCACCAAGAAAAAAGGAGAAGACTCAAATAAAATCAGAACTGAGAAATATGTTACAACTGAATACACAAAAACACAAAGAATCATAAGAGACTGCCATGAACAATTGTACACCAACAAATTAGATAACCTATGTGTTTATTCTGACATACCTGCTTGATTATGCCATAATTGCAGTAGTTCAAAGCTGTCTGCCAAGATTAAAGAGGACCTGGTGTTCCAACGCTTCACCAAGTTCACAATTAAAGATTTCCACAACATATTCACAGACTTGATTGAGCAGGTAAAGAAGCAGACCTCAGTAGCCTATCTGCTGGCCTCCTTCAATGACCAGAGCACCTGCAACTACCTGGTAGTTTACCAGCAGCTGCTCACTTCAGGCCACCTGCAGCATAACAGCAAGTTTTCTGAGTACTACATCAAGGGTGTGTGAACTGTGAAGGAGTTCTGCCATCAGGAGGTGGAGCCCATGTGCAACAAGACTGATCACATCTACATTATCACGCTGGCCCAGGCCTTCAGCGTCTCCATCCAGATGGAGGACATAGACCATGGTGAAGACAACACCACCAGTCTGCACATTTCCTCTGAGGGCTCTGAGCCAAAGTTCTACCTTCTCAGCTGGCCTGGACACTACAGTATCCTACTGTGTTAACTACAGTAATAGAGTTAACCTTGACCTGTAATGACCCTGCCTGCCCTCCCCTCTGCCAGGAGCTAGACATGTATGGAGGGTTTTTGTGGTTGTAAATGGTCATATTTCACTAGCTCCCTCTCTTTTTCTGTCATACAGCATTTCATGTTTTACTAAAGGGGATGCTGGTGGTAAAAAAAAAAAAAAGCAAGAATGCCAGTCAATATACAAAAATGTATATAAAATATAATAATTTTAAAGATTATTGCTATGACTAGTGCACTGTTTTTTGAAATGTGCCTTAATACATGGAAATAGGAAAATAAGTAAATATTATCCTATGCTCAGTAATTCAAAATTTTTTTCTGAGTAAAATGTGGTCGTCTGCTAAAAACACCAATGTAAAGCCATATATCATACTTTTAATATGAGCTTTATTTAGTTTCTAACTCCTCTGAGCTATCTTATTTCATTAATTAATTATCACTTTTTCACAAATCTTGATAATGGAAAAAAATTGTATAATTTGTGTGACTAGGAAATTAATAAATAAAGCTAAGAAAATATGTCATCAAAACACAGTTAATTCTAAAGTTCTTTTTTCCCTGGTCCCCTTGTATAAGTTGAACACATTTAAATTAAACTAAAGTACCAACTGTCCTGTCTGGACAAGTCTTGCCAGTCTGTCACATATCTGCATCCCCTGATGCCATTTGTCATTTCTCCTCTCAATTTGTAGAAGCTCTAAAAATATATTTTTTAATTTTCTAAGAATAGTGGCATTAATATCTTGAAACAGCAACATTATTTTTAAGTGTTGGTTTCTGTACTCTTTTCTGGTAAAACTAGCTCCACACTTCCACCCAGTGGGGTATCTTCACAAAAGGATTACAGAAAAAAAGAGGAGGTAAAGAATGG